TCTAGAGACATTTTACATCTACCACGGCAGGTTCCCAAACAAAGATTCTACCATCAAACCACCTTCATCACTCACATAGTTTATTATATATTTTTCTTCTATGGAAGATCAGGTTAGTCTAAAATCTCGTCTTCTTTCGATGTTGAATGAGTAATTCAAAATGCGTAGGGGACACCGGGGTTGGTTTTGGCATTTTAAGAAAAATGAGTTTTTATTATTTTTTAAAGCAAACGTGTAACGTCGGTTGTGTGTTGTTTTTATTCTACATTTGTTCTAGATAAAAATACAAACAAAATTACAAATTACAAATCAGGCAAAATGTTTCCGTGCCATCTTCATCTGCTTGTTTTTGCCACTATTTGTTGCCTTATGCTTGTTGCAGATGTTTCTTTTTTCACGGGACTCGTTTTCTTCAATTCCTTTTCTTGTTTCTTTTTATATTCTTCTTCTAACTTGTCCTTGTGTGCTTGGTGAAATGTTTGCAAAAAATTATAAAATTCATTTTTTTTTGGACCATGGTGATTCCCATTTCATTGTAGATGTCTTGAGATTACTTCCTCTAATAGTGAAAAAAAGCTTCGACGTTAGTTGTATTAAAACTAGTTGCCCGGCTAAGACTAGTTGCCACAGCAGTTCCCAAAGACAGAGCGGAATTCCGTTTAAGGAACCCAATGAGCCAATCAGCAGAAGCGATTTTATTTTCAACCCAATTTGGACGAACTTCTACGTAAATTTTTCAAAGAAACTTCCACAGGCTACTGTAATACCTTTTACAAAACTTCTGGATTCCCCTTGCGTCGATTTTTGCTGAGTCGAAATTGATAGCAATTCAGAAGTTTTGTAAATAGTAACTTCTACGTAGTTGGTAACGGCAAATTCATATGCCAAACATCGCACTTCTTTGGTCGACAACCCAAAATATAACTTTGATTGTTCCCCTTCAAAATGATGGGCTGACGGCTACCTACAATAAAAACGAAGAAGACTGATATTAACTTTCTCGCAGTTGAGGTGAAAATGATCCCGACGACACTTTTACCTCGACTAAACAATTTTGACATACAGAATAAAATATCTCAAATTTCCTTTCTATTCCGTGTGTCACAATAAATCTGGTTGTAACCGAACCCATTTCGTATTCAAATTTGGGTGGTACGAGATTTTTTTTGTGACTCGACAGACGTTGCCCGAGCAACATTCTCTCATTCCGTGGTATTGTATTACGGCCAAGGATCTTGCTCGAGGACTGGAACCTTGGTAGCTGCGGAAATCCGCTTGCCACCGCACTTGGGAACACTTCTTCGCCATTGTGGTGAAAGAGGTTAAGCGTCCGGGACGTTTCGTCGCCGATCGTAATCGATTAAAACGAAGTGAACCACCGTAAGAAATACGAAACTTACGACTGTCGCAAATTTTCTGTTCCAATAGCTGCCAGTTGCGTAAATTGGGTACAGATTATGGTTATTAAGCGAGACTTTTGTCCGTGCGATTGTAAACTTTCCGAGAACTTTAACGAGGCGCTTCACAGGGCGTCCGATAATTAGTACCATCCGGCGAGAATTCCACAGATGAATTTTAGAAATTCCGATCAAGGTGTGCAAGTACGAGGGTTACCTTTTATATTTCGGGATTTGTAATAAAAAACCATAAGCTACCAACAAATATGAGTTTATTGCTTCTCAAAACATTCACGCTGATGATCAATACACTTTTGCATTCGATAAAGCCAATCGTCAAAACACTTTTCCTACATCGAGTCAGGCACCTCTAAGACAGGCTTTTTAAACGCTTCAATCGCTTCTTCTGGTGTCAAAAATTGTTGCCCACGTAATTTATTCCTAATGCATGGGAATAAAAAGAAGTCATTAGGTACTTAATCAGGACTATATGGTGGATAGCTCATTAATTCAACGTTTTTAATGCTCAAAAAGTTCTGATGTTGCTTTAACTGTCAAATGTCGAATTAAGTTCATCGATGCAATGTTGTTGAGTTAGTCCACGTCTAAAGTTGTCAAAAATTATTGCACAAAAATAATCCCGATTAAGTTCCATTTTTACAACCAACAGTCTTTGGCCAAAACCTAACTTCTGAACCTAACCTCACCTACTTCCCTACAAAAACGGTAGTCGCCAGATGGCAGGACTAGTTTAAGAAAATCCCGGAATATAAAAGGCAGCCCTCGTATGTGTCTAACGGATTATATTTTACTAACTGCTTTTTGGCGACCTCAGTGTCCCGGCGTCAGCGACCTTTCGCACACTTCATTAACGCGTTCCCAATGCTAAATTAAACTGCATATTTTGTTGATTGTGTTATAAAACTCTTCGATTAACTTGTTCGTAACACAATCAAGATCAACTGACTTGACCGAAGAATTTTTAATTTTTTAAACTTCCTCAATTCGTTTTCATCAGCTCCAACATGAGTTATACAACCGTCGACAACAATTTTGGAACATGATACCGTTGTCGTCCGACCGTTTCTTTACACGTATTACGCATATCAATGAAGGCGAAACTGTAAAGAAGCGCTTTAGCAGAATACCGAAAATGTAGAACGAGAAAAATCGCGAACGATATTCTAAAACGTCGTCGAAGGGAATCCGAGTGAGGTCGTAATCACTAGAGCGTGTATGAAAAGGTTTGGGTTTTGTGTTTACTCTCGACCTCGGATAACCCGACGACGGGGTCGAATGGCCCTGTACAGAGAGTCGTACATTACGTATTCATAATATCCGTTATCCGCGGTTTCGCGAAATACGTATGAAAGTTTAAAATTTTCCTCCTCACACGTTTGCCAACGTTTGCGACAACGTAAGATGTATTCTAACTAGCCTGTATAAAAAATCCTTTTATTACAGCGGCCCCTCCGTTTTTCAAAACCTCTGGTTCCTTCATTATGCGCCTGATAATTTCGACCTCATTGACCAAACCCAACCATGAACATACTTATAATATTCTTGCAATTTGGAAGATACGACTTGATTGAAACTTTCAGATAATATTCTCCAAACAGTCTTCCATTGCTTTTTTATCCGTTATACCACGCACAAAACTCAAGTGGCGTTGTCGCATATACAACTGCAAATACTAGCCCGGGTCTCAATGTTCACATCGTCTTGTATTAGTATTATTAGTATGTATATGCATGTATTGCATGATGCATGATTTTTACTCAGATAATAAGATAAGATAAGATAATAAGATAATATAGTGGCCCTACTACGGTAAAAAATGATGGAGCTTTTGCGCATGCGTCACGCCCCAACTAACTGAGTTGCCACATTTCCGTAGTTTTTTTGCAAAAATTGACTAATTTTTATAAGAACGCAAAATCAGTCTCTGAAATCCGAATATAATTGGCAACGCCGAACTAGGAACTGCTGTTGCCACAGACTATTAATAGTCTGTGCCATTGTTGTTTACATTTTTGGTGGTTATGATTCTCCTCCGTACCTTTTTCATGTTTTTGCGAAAACCTTGTGTTTGTGGTCAAAACTGTAAGGAAAAGAATGTACCTACATGCGGGTAAGTGTTGTCTTACGTACAAGTTAATTTAAAAGATTTAAAAGTGGTTTCTATAGCGACATTTCGTGAATTCGACTTTATTTACATTTTCAATAGAAGTCAAACCAATAAGTTTATAAAAACACACTGTTTGCTCCGATTTACGGGCGCAACTTCGGAAAAAATTAGCTGGTATCGTGTCTATACTGCTTAAAGAACCAAAACGCTAAATACTTACAGAATTATACTAAGGACGCCGATCCGTGTACTCTAATTCAGCATAATATTAACTCTGCACTTGTCGCTAATTTTTTAAACAACACTTTCTACACCTTAATTCCATTTTTTCCTGAAAATTTAATGGGATTTCGACATATTTTGAGAAATTACTGCATCCAAACATTGTCGACCTGCCAGCGGCCATGTTGATTGTTGCAAACCGCAAGGCCTTATGGGTAGAACGTCAGAAAATGCAATTAGAGTTGCCAATAGTTAAAATCGAAATTTCAAATCTCGCGCATGCGCATATTTAACAGACCTTCTCAAAATTTACTTTACATAGTTGCTTCACAAGTTCCTGTACTTTTAGCATAGGCAGGGCGTATAATGTCTAGCAGCTATATGCTTGGACTACAACGTAATATACTATATCTAATAAAATTTTGTTTCTTTCTGTTTCAAACAGAGACCTTTCGTATGTTACTGAAATAGCTTTTTCATAACCTTTCGACTCGTCGATCATTTATGTCTCAAGTGAAGGTAGAAAATTGGCTGGGTTGTTGAAATAACCTCATTGAAAACTTTAATTCTAAAAATAAGCATCATTACTAATACGTCATAATTTCCCGGTTAAAAAGAGAAACGACACGAAATTGTTGAATATGGAATAGCGTTGACGCTGGGCGACGACAAAATGCCGGTTTCTAAAACTCGATTTTGAATTCGAAACGAGAGATAATAACCATAATCAGTGCCCGCGGCTGGTTCGGTCGATCATCAATAATTATCGCGATAAGCGCCGCGCGGCCTGAGAAAGTGTTTTCACTTTTTGTCTATTGTTCGCTCTCCTATCACTACGATTATTAATAGAATCTAGCCCGGCACGTTTTAAGGAAGTTCTTTATCGACATCGTCGTACAAAATCGGTAGAAAGTTCAATTACGTATGCGTGTCGCACTCACGACCTTTGCTTCCGCGCATCACCTTCTGTTTATGGAGGTGAAACCCGAGATGCGCTTATAGACGACTCTTCAGTCGTTGACCCCAAGCCTTGATCACGTTTTCCGTTTGAATAATAAAAGAAAAGTACGACCACGATTTACGATGCGTCCCTCGTTATACGCTCCGACACATCTTAAAATGGTACGGCACATGGCGCAGCCTGCGGTGATGTTGTTTACGTCGTCGCTAAGCAACGTCCGACCTTTGCGCAGCGCCGAACACGTGACTGTTCCTTATATTTATCGATAAATTCAATTGTCGTCTCTTTTCAGAGGGATGCGTCGAGGTATCCCGCGAAAACAAGTTCCTCAGCACCCAGACCCCTGGCAAAGTCTTGGGCGAGCTGGCCATACTGTACAATTGCCAGAGGACTGCCACGATCAAGGCCGCCACCGACTGCAAACTTTGGGCGATCGAACGGCAATGCTTCCAAACGATCATGATGAGGACCGGCTTGATCAGACAAGCCGAATACACCGATTTCCTCAAGAGGTAACGGAAAATTGAAAATTGAATCGTTTTTCAGTGCGTATTCGAAATATTGCTAATCGTAATTACCAATTACTTTTCCATAATTATTAATTTCAATTAACAATATAAGAATCGTCGCGCAAAATCCGATGGATTACATAAAACTATTACTACTTCTAATTGGTAATACCAATCGATGGCGTAACAATATTAATTACAAATTGATAAAAAAAAATTACAAATTATTAATTGCCAGCAATTACTAGTGAACTAAGTACAATTAATTGGACCCCATTAATCTGCGAATTGTAATAAATTGAAGGTTGCTTAATTCCATCCTTTATATTATATAATAATAACATGTAATTAATACTAAAAATATGTTTACTAATTTGAGCATCAATTAAATGAACTAGTTATGATCTCTTCGTGTGCGAATTATGCAAAATATGTGCGAGTCTAGTGTATCTCAGGAGATGCTCCCGCCCAAATGTAGAAAACACTGTTCTATTGAGACTAAGGAAGTTATAAACAATATTTATTTGACTCTCAATGATCGTCGTGCCAGCAAGCAAGCATCTTTAGAAGAAACGGCCACATTGCCGAAAATTCCAACATCAACTGTATCGAAAATTGTGAATAATCCGATTTCAGCGAGGAAAAAAAGAAGCGATGCTGACATTTTCTCGAGTGTAGATCAAAGTGATCAAGATATAATACGGCATAAAATTTACCAGTTATACGAAAAACAAAGCGTGCCTACATTAGATATCTATTATGTGGCTTGAAAAAGATGAAACCGGTATTAAATGTGGCAGCACTACCTTATGAAAGTGTATTCAACACATGGGTTTTAGATTTAAAAGAATTGACAAAAGGCAAGTTTTAATGAACAACAAAGGCCAATTATTTACTTGGATGAAACCTGGTTCGACACTTGTGATACCTCTCAAAAGGGTTGGGTTGACTCAATTGATAAGTGTAAAACAAACGGGCCATCAAAAAGAGGTAGAAGAATAACTATTTTGCATGCTGGCTCTTAAGTTGATTGGAATCCAAATGGACTTTCTCTGTCTGCGAAAAATATTAAAGATTCTTCTCTGGATTACCATGAAGACACCATCGCTGATTTATTTGAAAGTTGGTTTAAAAACAAACTAGTTCCAAACATTCCTCCTAATAGCGTCATTGTAATGGACAATGCAAGTTGTCACAGTAGACCTTCCCCTTCCTGGTGTGACACAAAACCAACAATCCAAAACTACATGTATAATAACGACATTTATTTTCACGAAGATTATACCAAAAAGCAATTAATTGAAGTTCTACAACGCTTGAACCTACAAAATTGTGATAATTATGGAAAAAATTTAGGGCATACAGTTTTAAGGGTTCCATCTTAGCACTGTATATTTAATCCCATTGAACATGTTTGGCACCAACTCAAATCTGCCATTCGTCGTAACAATGTGTTTCCCCGTGTTAACTCCAATGTCCTCAAACTTATAGAAACCGAAGTTTTTAACATCCCTCCACAAAGTTGGGCAAATACTGTTAAACATATAGAAAAAACACAACAATCGTGTTGCAAATAATATAGAACAAATAATAATTAGAACATGCGATAATAGCGATAGTGATACTGATATATTATGTGAATAATTTTAAGTAATTTAAGTAGGTAATAAAAATAACTTGTAATTTTATTTTAGATTTAAACATAAATACATACATAAAAAAATAAATATTGTTTAGTATCTTTCCTAACAAAACCCCAAATAATTAAATTCTAAGCAAAGTACGGAGCTGTTCGGCCATATTTCATTCTTACAGCTTGCCCGGGTCTTTCCTTAATTCGTATCAGTTAGTCACTTTCTTATATCTATGAACAGACTTTACCAATTATCTACAATTAACTGCGATAATTAATTGTCAATAATGAATATATAATTGTAGTCACTAAGTAAGCACTGTCCGTTGCACTTATTCAGTGATCACTAATTGTAATTACTAAGCATCAATTAAGGTCGACTAATTGTCCTCCAGTAAGCGGCTCCTATTAACCAGAATTAATGGTGGAGCTCTGCATAGTAATCCTTAAAAAAAATCAAATCCCCATTACTAATTGTTGATTCTGCCCTTTTAGTGTGCCCATATTCAAAACGTTACCAGAAGAAACTCTGATAAAGATCTCGGACGTCTTGGAAGAATGCTTCTACGCGAACGGCGACTATATCATCCGACAGGGAGCGAGAGGTGACACCTTCTTCATAATCAGCAAAGGTCGAGTGAAGGTGACGATGAAACGACCCGATACCGCCGACGATAGATACATCCGCACCCTAGGCAAGGGCGATTTCTTCGGAGAGAAAGCCCTACGAGGGTAAGAACGAGACGTCTCGACGCCCCTGGAGCCTGCAGTATTTGTTAATCGTTGCAGGGACGATTTGAGGACGGCCAACATAATAGTCGATGATCCCGAAGGGGTCACCTGTTTGGTGATCGACAGGGACACGTTCACGCAGCTGATTTCGGATTTGGACGAGATCAAGACGAAATACGTGGACGACATGGACTACCGAAGACGGTAAGTGATATTGGCGACATTAATTTAAAGAAAAGAGAGTAAAAATATTGAAAAGGATGATGAGTTAAATGTGGATTTTGTCATTTTGTTCCCGCTTTACCCGGACGCAGATCCCCTGTAAGTATTTACCGGCTTCAGCACTGCATCACCGCTGCACCCCTAACGTACCGATTAAGAAAGACCAAAGGAAAAATATAAATATATAAAGGTTCCTTCTTAGTCGGCCTGTACATACAAAAGCAAGAGCGCGAATGATGGTGTAAAGAGTATGAGAAGAAACTCGGAAGGTTTTTGCCCCTAAGACCGTTTATCCCCTCTCTTTGCCTATCATCCGCTCAAACCCCACATAACCGTCGAATTATCAAAAAATTCCCGCCGCAAGGTTGAACGAGGAATTCTCCAACGTGAAACTGGACGATCTCAAAGTGCTGACCACCCTCGGAGTGGGCGGGTTCGGCAGAGTCGAACTGGTCCAGATCAACGGACGTCCGTCCAAATCGTTCGCGCTGAAGCAGATGGTCAAGGCGACGATAGTGGAGACCCGTCAACAGCAGCACATCATGTCCGAGAAAGAGATCATGGGAGAGGCGAACTGCGATTTCATCGTCAAGCTCTACAAGACGTTCAAGGACGCCAAGTACCTCTACATGTTGATGGAGAGCTGTCTAGGGGGCGAACTGTGGACCGTTTTGAGGGATAAGGGGCACTTCGATGACGCGACCACACGTTTCTACACCGCGTGCGTCGTCGAGGCGTTCCAATACCTTCACTCGAGGAATATCATCTACAGGGATCTAAAACCAGAAAACCTGCTTCTCGACCATAGAGGGTAAGGGGCTAAAGGATACATTTCAAACGACACTCACTTCTACATTGCAGATACGTGAAGCTCGTCGATTTTGGTTTCGCCAAAAAGTTACAGGCCGGTAGAAAGACGTGGACGTTCTGTGGCACCCCAGAGTACGTGGCGCCAGAGGTGATTCTCAACAAAGGACACGACATCAGCGCCGATTACTGGTCTCTCGGGATCCTCATGTTCGAACTCATGACGGGAACGCCTCCCTTCAGCGGAAGCGACGCCATGAGGACCTACAACATCACCCTGAAGGTAAGGGTTATCGCCAATCTCCAGGTTCCGACAATGACGCTTCTAAACGTTGGTAAACAAACGTATAAACAAAAAGCGAAAATTCCATTTTATGGCCATTACGTTTGTGAATATTCATCTGCATTTTACATTACATTAGGTACAACAAGATGTTATTGATGAGCTAAACTCTTTGAGCTTCTTTCTGGTACAGATTCTAGCTGCCAATGTGTAGATGTTTATTTCGCAGAAACGCGGTAGATATATTAAAAATAAATTTACTCCGTTAACTTTAACATTCAAATTGGTTGAGTTACAATTACAATTACAAAGTGCCAGTAAATAAGAATCAAAAGAATTACATTTTCTATTCATAGACTGAGTCCTAGTTATATGGGCGTAACAGTGCATCAATTTTAAAAACTTAATGATCCGAGAGTGGTACAGTATGGCATGCCGGCGGGGCAACGTTCTTGGTCTAATTTTAACTCTCAAAGTCTGGTACCAACATAACAAACTGACTCTAAGTTTTGAATTTCTTGTCATATAAAAATCATCCGCCAAATTTAGGTAACTTAACAGATGATATTACTATTCCTAACACATATTCTATAAAATATCACGGTATTACTACAGGCAGCTTGCTTAGATGGGATTTATGGCAAATGTAGTTTATAAACTTAAAGGGCTACTGTCTAAATTTTACTACTTAATAGACTTCTTTCCACTTCAACAGTTAAAACTGTATGTACGTCCTTAATAGAAACGCACCGTTGGAGTTTCGGAAACCATATTGAAAATCTCGAGACTCTGTAAAAATGGTTTATAAAAATAATATTTCGCGAACCAAAATTATACCCAACAAATTTGTTGTTTCGAGATAATGTCTGTCCGTATTAAAAGATATTAAAAAAAGGTTAAATTCCCACTGTTACTCAGAAAACACACGGACAACGCCCTTATAAATATTATGGATCCAGACTGTACAATATACAAAATTTTAAACCATTTAATTGCAAAACAAAACGATGGATAATTGCGACTGATCGATAGCTTTTAAATAATCTTATTGACTTGAAGTACTTAAAATAGATAGGTCCAAATTTATCTATCCGATAGCACAATCAACGTAGTCTCTGAACGCGAATTTATCTGTGAAGCTATTTTTTTTATCCCTAGTGATTCCGCTCACAAGCATTCTTAAATGTTTCCATGGATATCCGTGGATTTTACATTTTTTGGAATGCAGGTTCACCCACTAAAACACCCCCAATCGACAGCATCGGCTGCTAGGGCTAGCTGTCAATCTCTATTGCATCCACACACATATGTCCCTCGTCTATTAATAGTATTTTCTATATAATGTTAAATACAATGATGTAATTTAAATATGCCTCTTCCCTTTTCAAGTTGTTGTTTATGTTGTCGTCTTTGCAAACCATACATTCGACATGCGCTCGTTATGTGAACGAAGCAAGGTGTTACATCCAATCCAGATGGTTTGCCAGTCCTGCCGGATTTTTTCGTTAACCAATTTCCTGAATTGTTTTGTTCTTGGTAACAAGTTGTTTGCAGTTGTCACCCCATTATCATCATCTATCGGTTCCCTTGGTAGGTTAACTTCAATTTTTTCGAGATACTGTCTATATCTCACTGCTAAACGACATGTAATACTTCTTCGGCAGGAGTAGGCAGTTCTTATCGAATATGCTTTAGTGGCATCGATCCAGATCCACACTAGAGGCTCTGGACTTGGAAATTCCCAAATTTTGATTATGATCTAGTAGATAAAACAAATTTTTTCTCGCTGATATGATACGAGATGATGCAGCCTTAGTCGGTTTTTGACAGAATGAGGTCTTTGTAGATTTGGAGTAAACTTTTTGGATTATTATTAAATTATATAATAAGTTAACTAATGAACTTAAGAATGTTATTGTGCAAACGTTGTCCACAAAGCGAGTCGATTGACCAAAATATGTTACGCCAGGGAATAGACGCAATAGACTTTCCGAGGAACATTACACGAAATGCGACGGCCTTAATTAAACGCTTATGCAGAGACAACCCCGCCGAGAGGCTGGGATACCAGCGGGGAGGCATCAGCGACATCCAGAAGCACAAGTAAGTCCTCTCTTCCCTAGAAGCGTAGACTAAACAAATCTAAACTTAAACCCCGATGCTAAAAATTTACCGCTCATATGTTGCCAGGTAATCGCACATGTAGAGATGTCGCTAGCTGTCTCCGTTTAGTTGTTTGAATTAAAGCAAGGTTACCAAATTGTTTTCTTTTAGGTATTGCCCGATAGTACTTATCGTCTAAATTGACATTAAACAAGGGATTAGACCAGCCTTGAAAATTTTTTCGACGTTAGTTTCATTTCTGAGACACTAATACAAAATAGTGCACAGATGATTGAAAATGAACGAAATAAAACTCGAAATCTTTTGTTCATGTTTTTCGGTTGCTTGCTTTCAAAATATTATGGAGTATAGACTTTTAAAATTTTTGCTTTATTTGACAACACAGTCGAACAAAATTTTCTGTCTAATTGTGACCAAGTAATTGTGCTATGGTCTGTTCATAGATATAAGAAAGTGACCAATTGGTTTTGAATGGGATTATCCAAGGGTGGTCATTAACTTACGATGCAACAAGATTATTACCTAAAGTTTCGGACTTTAAAATCAGGTAAAATTGTGGTCCATAATAGAAAATAATTTTATACCTACCTGTGTTTAATATTATTTGGTTTGGTATACTACTTAGTTTAAGTTTATTAGTAATCATTCTTATTTCGTGTGTAATACAGCGTGTGTTGAATCGGGTGCGAATTATGCAAAATATGTGCGAGTCTAGTGTATCTTAGGAGATGCTCCCGCCCAAATGTAGAAAACACTATTCTATTGAGACTAAGGAAGTTATAAACAATATTTATTTGACTCTCATTAAACGTGGTGCCAGCAAGCAGCTAGCATCTTTAGAAGAAACGGCCACATTGACAAAAATTCCAACATCAACTGTATGGAAAATTGTGAATAATTTCAACGAGGAAAAAAAGAAGTGATGCTGACATTTTCTCCAGTGTAGATGAAAGTAATCAAGATATAATACGGCCTAAAATTTACCAGTTATACGAGGAACAAAGCGTGCTTACATTAGCTATCTTAATTAGGAGGCTTGAAAAAGATGAAACCGGTGTTAAATGTGGCAAGACTATCTTATGGAAGTGTATTCAACACATGGATTTTAGATTAAAAAAAAACTGACACAAGGCAAGTTTTAATGGATTCTTTTAGAATTCGGAAATGGCGACTGGAATATCTATAAAAAATTAGGAATTACAGAGAACAACAAGGGCCAATTATTTACTTGGATGAAACTGGTTCGGCACTTATGATAACCCGGAAAAGAGTTGGGTTGACTCAACTGATAAGTGTAAAACAAACGCGCCATCAAAAAGAGGTAAAAGAATAACTATTTTGCATGCTGGCTCTAAAGATGGTTGGATTCAAAATGGACTTTTTCTGTCTGCGAAAAATATTAAAGATTCTTCTCTGGATTACCATGAAGACACCAGCGTTGATTTATTTGAAAGTTGGTTTAAAAACAAACTAGTTCCAAACATTCCTCCTAATAGCGTCATTATAATGGACAATGCAAGTTATTACAGTAGACAGTTGACTAAAACCCCTTCCTCATGTGACACAAAAGCGACAATCCAAAACTACATGTATAATAACGACATTTATTTTCACGAAGATTATACCAAAAAAAAATTGAGGTTCTACAAAGCTTGAACCTACAAAAGGAATACGTCTGTTATAATTATGCAAAAAATCTAGGGCATACAGTTTTAAGACTTCCACCTTACCACTGTATATTTAATCAGATTGAACATGAACTTATAGAAACCGAAGTTTTTAACATCCCTCCACAAAGTTGGGCAAATTCTGTTAAACATATAGAAAAGGCAGAACAATCGTATTATCCATATTGCAAGTAATATAGAACAAATAATAATTAGAACAGGCGATGATAGCGATAAAGATACTGATATATTATCTGAATAATTTTAAGTAATTTAAGTAGGTAATAAAAATAATTTGTAATTTTATTTTAGATTTAAACATAAATACATGCATAAATAAATAAATATTGTTTAGTATCTTTCCTAACAAAACCCCAAATAATTAAATTCTAAGCAAAGTACGGGCCTGTTCATTTCATTCTTACAGCTTGCCCGGGTCTCTCCTTAATTCGTATCAGTTAGTCACTTTCTTAATCTATGAACAGACTTTACCTGTCTGATAGCAGCTCGCGAATATTTTCGACTTAATTTGAAATGTCCTGCCTAAAGAAGCAAGCGGTAACAAACTACAATTTTGTATTTCGAAACACAGTTTTAGACTAGGTCTATTTAGTCTATGGTAAGAATAAACTAAGCTAAAATAACTAACACTTGTTACGATACTTAGATGGTTCGACGGTTTCAACTGGGAAGGCCTGGTGGCCCAAACCCTAACGCCACCTATCCAACCAGAAGTACGTAGCGTTACCGACACGTCGAACTTTGACAAGTATCCGCCCGATAACAGCGCCACACCGCCGGACGACATAACGGGCTGGGACAAGAACTTTTAAAATAATGGTGGATTTTGGCCGCTGCGAATCGAAAGTGCCTTACCGGGAATTAACGACGCAAAATTTCCCTGTTTCGTTGCAAACTTTGTTGCCGAGTGTGATATGTCATTTAGAGGGTTAGGTTTTTCTGACGGATCGGATAGGGAAACATGACAATTTCGAACTGAAAAAGAAATTTTAATTCGTGCCTACATAGATTTTATATACTTTTATATATTATGAATGCAAGGAAGTGCCATGTGATTTATCCTCTTTCCTATTGGTTTGGAGGTTGCCCTTCTCTCTAATAACCAGGAGGTACTTTTTTTAACCCTAACAAATTTTTTAAATGAAGACATTTAAAAAGGGCTTGTTTTAGCGTGCATGTACATATATATAAGCATGAAGTTACCCCGATATTTTTTAATTAATTTTGCGGATTAGGAGCGACTTGGGAAATTCTAGATAGCATTTCCATAGATATTGTGAATATTGTAATTTAACGTTGTATAATAAAATATTGGTCAAAAGCAACGCTTCTGGCTTTTTTCCCTACCTTGCCTACTCTCTGTCGGCGTTCAGAAATGTGCGGAATTCACTTTCCAATACTAAATCAATAATAAAACTAATAAATTATTGCTTTTTCCAATCACAATCACAGAATATATACAGGTCAGTTTTGAACGGCACAGTTGCGACTCGGGACACAATTCAATTCGGTAGCTTAATCTTTTGAAAATTATTTTTGACAACTAACTTTTAATTACGCAAAAAAAAAAACGTCTACACGCTTCCGTAAGTGGTAGTGAACTGGCTCGTGCAATCGGAAATATATTTTCCACTCTGTTGCATAAACCGATGCTCGCTTCTGGGAGCGACCTAAGTCAACTCTGTACATAACAATGTTGGGAATGAATACCGGCTTCGGCAACATACCGATCTAATCTAAATTAGCCAATTTTTCGATGCAAAAATTAATAATGTTTGTCTGTCGCATAATTTTTTTTCTTTGTATCAGTCAACTTTAGGTAGTGGCGTATAGATGGCAAAACATATTTATATGCATTAAATAACCAGTTTTTCTTCTGTGTTATTTTTCACTTTTAATTCAATTGTTCTCTCATCGATCCATAGAGAGCGCTGTACAACAGAAAATTGTTCTGGATAAAATAAATGTACAATTTAAGATTTGGCCACAATAACACTTCGAATATTGTTTGCAAAGTATAATTAGAAACTGCTTCTGAATTTAATTCTCAAAGCTATTGAAGTTTTCATTATTTGTTTCTTACCACTACCGTTCACTAGAGGGCAGCGTATATCTGTGTTGAGGAAAATGCTGTTATGATTCGTAAAAATATTATTAGGGTTAGTATTCGTATTTCTTTAAGGGGCTTAATTTTTTAAAATATGTTTTAAATATAAAACACAACAATCCTCTCAGTGGTAGTATCGATCTAATTTCAATCCGAGTTCAAAACCAAACAATTTACCAGAGATGGCGACACGGTGCCGAATAATCTGTCAAAATTAATATGTCTGCCATAAGGATTTTTGGTGGTTGTGTTATGGTGTTTCTATGAATTTCGCGATAAAAACGGTGTTGAAATCAGTGCGAATATGGTGGAACTTTGGGATGCGGGGGTGCCGAACGTTCATTTTCTGAACCACTCATCTGCGGAGTTCCGCGTGCAAGGTAATCAGATATTGGTTATGTGTTTTTGCGGACTGCGTCACGGACGTCCACATTTTTGACAGATGGGACGGGATGTCTGTGTTTACAAACGATTTTTATTTGATTTCGTTTTCGTTCCAATTGGAAAATGGCTTGCGGCGAGTTTTCGTGTCGGATCGTGCCTATTTTCCAGTCTAATTCGAACTAGTTTCAATATCGTTTGGCAAGAGAGTTGGTGTGCCGTCCACGAAATGCGTTCATTGCTTTTTTTAGCCAGATATTCGTGGATATTATTGCCAAATAACAAATGACGAGAGTGCGGGAGAACCGAGCTAAACGCAGATACCATGACCATATGATTTCAAGGCCGCTATCCATTTTTAGATTTTTTTGCTTGACTTGTGGGCGATTTTTAAAATACATCTAATGGTAACTAACGACACTTTGGCATATGATGAAATTGGCATGTCCCACGTGCGCGACCCCTTTGTTATTTAGCGTGTTACGTCATGCGTATACGTACCTGAACAGTGGAACGCAGTATGTGCCTATTGTTCTGGCGTAATGGAATGCGAGCGTTGATTGCCGCAATGTGTAATTTATGGAGCAGCGGGCACACATGGCGATAATATGGCAAAAAATTAACTGCCCATTATAGGCGTTCGTTGCGGAAACCCTATATCTGTCCGCGTTCACCATGCTTCCACCCACCCATTAAACTCGACGGGAATTATTGCAATACCAGGTTTCGTTCTGGTAAATAAAAAAATTAATCCACTCGGATAAAAATTAACGGTCATCTCCCGGGAGGGTGTTATTATTTCATTACCGTTATCGTCGGGTCGTAAATTTGGTTGTTTTTTTTTTAATCTGTGTCTCTCGGAAAACTGTAAATATTTTCGGCGGGTTTTGTCGGATAATTATCGTTAATGGCTGAAAATTTGTTTTTATAACAGTATTAAAATTATGCAAACCGGGTCCCGGTCTTTAACGGCCACCCAAATGTACACCCGATGTGTGGCTGCTCTTATATTTAAGCCGAAATTCCAATGTTGCTTGAGCTTAAGCACATGTAGAACTTTCGATGTAAATGGTATTGACCGAACTCATATGTTAAGCGCCAAGGATGCACGTTCAAAGTTGGACGTAAATGTACCTTTACAATTGGTAAAAAAATAAAATCTCGCTGATTGATGTGCGTATACAGGGCGTTAAAAAAATAATATGAAAAAAAGTTCATGGGTCCGGAAATGCTTCGATTTCATGATACAGGGTGTTTAAACTTTTCTTTCTTTTACAGTTTATATGAAATTTACGGAAAAAGCAATTAAGATGTCGAGATGAGTTTTGGTACACACACACGTGCTTTAGTGAAGTTCACGTTCACGTGATCAAAATTGTTTTCTAGCGGTGGCGTTCGTGAAGGCAAGTGCCCTTCATAAAATGAGGCAACAATAATTTAGTTTATGAGATCACCTGACTTAAGTCTTCAGAAGTTTGCCCTAATCCAAAATAAATTGAAAAAGATTGGAGAGTCACGCGCCGTATCATGAAAACGAAGCATACCCGAATCCATATTTATACTGGGTGATTTAGGCTTTAAGACACAAAATGAAGCAAAAAATTTTATATAAAAACGAGTCCGATTTCGATCAGTAGCGGAGCTTCAGGGCGTCAGAGTTTGTTAATTTTGTTCTATTAATTAAAATATTTTTTTCCGGAGTCGCACTATAAGATAAATTCTATACCAGTCCAAGCGTGTGAAGGTTGCAGGAATACTTACATTCTATGCTTAGATTAGGGTGGATTTACAATCATGAAGTAAAAAGTAAAAAACATATTTCTTTTAAGAGGTTACTTATCTTTACGATGATAATTCTTTTGAAATGACAGTTTTTAAGTAGTTATAAGCTAGTTAAAGCTAAAACTTGACCTTCTACTTGTTAAAAGTGTGTTTAAATATTTCATGCATTTTTAACGAATTTAGTCCAAGAATAAAATTTAAGCAAAATATTAACTAAAAAAATGGAATAGCAAAAAAATTCTGGAAATTGGACGGGCCAACCACCTGGATGAGGTCAGGTGCGCACTACGGAAAAGTTTGGGGGTCCCCAAAGAAGCGTCTTTCCCCAGAAACGTATCACGTAGATTTTAAAAATATTTAAAAAGCTTTAAATAATGATCTTCTGGGAAGTATTAATTATTATTATTAATTAAAAATTAATAAAGAACAAATAAATAAACGACACATATAAACTTTTTTTAAATGCATAATTAGAACAAAGAATTTTAAGATTTTCACAGTTTTCACAGGTTCACAGTTAGTTATATATATGTAATCAGGTAGTAATATATTTTTAATTACAGGTGTAGAGTCAAAAATTTAATTTTGACAGCGGAGACGCATTAAGTAATAGATTCGAATTTTATTAATCTCCATAGCTTGCAACAAATTCAGTTTTTTGCATTTTGTTTCATTATGTAAAATATCAAAATTATGGCCAAAGTTGTGTATTTCCGAATTTAAATGAATGGCGTAGTTAGAATCTGAACTTTTATTTTTATACGCTCTTTTATGTTCGTTAATGCGTTTCTAAATTTTCTACCTCTTTGTCCGATATTTCAACTTGTAGACTCTTGATTGTTGAGTTTTTCGTGATTTACTTTTATTGTTTTTTAAAAATTTTCCGATGGTGTTTTCAATTTTAAAATCCATCGTGAGACCAAATTTAAATACATGTTTCGAAATTTTCTGGCTAGGTGTATTTTATTGTTTTATAAATTTTGGGCTCGGTATTTAATATGGGAGAGATAGAGTTCTGAGATATTTGAAACTGTTTTTTAGTTATAATCTTATCTATCAAAGAGGCTTCGTAACCATTGTTAAATGCTATTTGTTTTAAAATATTTAATTCTTTTTCAACAATTTCTGCGGAAAGTGGTGTATTCAGTAGTCGACGAATAAGAGGCAGCCATTTTGTGTGTTATTATATTTTTTAAATGATAACTAGTTAACCATTTCAGTTTGTGCCTTAAAAGTTATGTATGTATAAACTTTTTTTTCATATTTTTACATGTAGAATTTGCCCTTAAATTTTCTGTTCCACACTGTATAAATACGTCTGGATGGTGGTTGCACCGCAATGCGGTACCGATAAACAGATGGCCTCTCGGTGCCCGAATCCGCTGGTGACTTTCACGTCCAAAAACGGCTCAGACGTTTTGTGCAATAATTCGCTCGCGTTGTTACCGAAATGGAAACGGTGAATCATTGGTATAAATAACGTCTAAATATTTAACGTTCGCCTGGTACCATTTTACGGACGAATCTCACAAAAACTCGCCCCGCATAGCGTTCATAAATATTTACGGTGGAAGGAAAAAAAAAAGCGAGGCAATATGTAAATCGGTAATCCTCACCTCGTGGTACCCGAAACCTGCCGATGCGGTGTTAAGATAGGAGCCCCTTTTCGCGAGGGAGAGGTCCTCATCCGCCCACGGTCCGCGTCGCGTTCGACAATGCAACGTTGCCAAATGTTCGATTCTACCATATATGTTAAGAAGAAGGCACTAAATTTTCCGAAACTTCGACCACAAATAAATAGTTCTGTACACACTCAATTCAAAACACACCAATTCCTTAACCCATATTATGCCAAGCATAAAAAAATACTTTTTTGCTCTGAAATTGTTTATTTTGCTGCACTTAAGAATACATTACATGTGTCAAAAAAAAACTCGGAACAAAAAAAATACTGGTGCGTAAACGAACCACTGGAAAAAAACATTAAATAATGTTCTACTAAACTAACTACTAAAAGTAGATTGTTTTCCAAGTAGAACCTGAGCATAC